TCTCAAATACAATGAAAATAGAAAAAATTGTTATGAAGAAAATAGTGCTTAGGGGAGATCGAGGCAATACCGTACACACAATTCCCTCGTTAACCCTTTAACTACTGAAGACGAGTATACAAAAAATTACCTCGAGGGCCGCATGCGGCCCACGGGCCACCAGTTTGACACCCCTGCAATAGAGCAATACCTGTTAAAGGGCTACAGTCATAGGAATGACCATGGAAAGCAAAGGACAAAACTCATTGAAAATGATGCGGCCGGGTAGCTGAGAGACCAGAGTGTTGAGTATTTGAATTGCTAAAGAATGATGGCAGGAATGGTGATGGAAGAGAGATCGAGGTGCTAGGATGGCTTCCAAGAATGAGGCAGAGGGACTCGGAGAACTTTTGGTGACCATATGAAGGATGGGTAGCAGGAAGCTGACTTTGTTGGTATGACTTCAAAAGAGCTGAGGACTAAAGGCAGAAACAGTTGTCTGGAGCTGAAGCCGAGCTACCACGTGAGTAGTGTCAGGAAAAGCAGATCTTTAAGTCAGAAGAAAAAGGGAAAGGTTGGGGACACCAAGGACTTTGATGATTGTGAGAGAGGGAGCTGTAAAAAAAAAAGGTCTGGGGGCCAGAATTCAAGACCACATATGTAGTTGAGATAGTTTGGTTACTAACCCTGTGGTTCAAAGAGCATCTCCTGTATACTGGGGATCTTATTGTCCCCCAAATCGGACCTGGACTTCAGGGCCCAGCTCCACAGCACCTACCCACAAGCTCTCAGTCCTTCCTCTTCAACTCAGGGCTAGAGCCAACACGAGTGTCCTCTTCCAGCTGCACAGAGAAACCATCATCCAGTGTTACAAACCTTCAGACAAAAAAGGGAAGGCCATGGAAACTAGAACAGCTTGAGTCTGGGTAGTATTGACAGGTGTGGCCTACTGGAGAGCCTTGATTGGAGAAAAGTAGATGCAGGCTGCATAGTGGTGAGAACAATTAGCACTTTGATTTTAGGGAAAGGCCTTTAGAACAAAGCTAGCAGTGACATAGAAGAGTCAGCATTTTAAGATCATGGCTCTCAAACCACATTTAGCTAACAGTAGATTTGGAAATCTGCTTTGTAGAACACTAAGAAATAGGTATCATAGCATATATATTGAAATAAAAATTAAAATTTTGTGCTAAGTTAAAATGGCTTATTTCAAAGCAATTTAGTGAAATTTACATACTATATCAAAGATGGTAAATAAACTCTAATTGAGGGTCTAGAACACTGTTGAAAAAGATTGTGAGGCCTGTCCAATGGGAAACATGGATAGTGCTCCTGCCATGTATTTTCACACATCAGCTGAGCTCAGCATATTTCCATGAATAAGAAGCTGTAGACTTCAGTACGATTAGCTATTTTCAAGTTTTTCCTATAGAACAGGGGCTGGCAATCGGACTTGTGGGCCAATCCCAATCATTTTGCATATTGTCTATGGCTGCTATCATGCTGCAATGCAAAGTAGCGTTTGTGGCAGAGGCCATATAGCCTGCAAAACCTAAAATATTTACTGTCTGACCCTTGGCAGGAAAAGCTTGTTTACCCCTGAAATAGGAGAACAAACCAATAGAGTTTAGTCTTGCTAGGCCCCACGAGCAGTCCATCAACTACACAACATCAGGCTTTCACACATACCTAAGTGTGAACCACCGTGTTCGGAGACTCGGCTTAGTGACAAGAAGGCCAAACACAAGCTATTTGGAACATCAAGAGAATCATAAATAGGATGAGAATAAGTTCTCTTTTGCTCTGTTCTCTGGATGTTTCTCATGTATGTGTCTTATTCTCTCCACTGATGGAAAAAAGTCCATCTTGTTTGTCTGAGTTGTTTGTTTTTTTTCTTCAGATGCCCTCAGTTGGCAGCAGGCAGGAGCTTCCCAGAACTTGGGTGCTAGGGAGGAGAAAACAATGGTTCAGACAAGGTTTTCCCCCTGAATCCTTCCTGACTTTTGGCCTTCAGGAATTCCTGATGGACCGTCACAGGACTGTAAAAGACAGGCATAGGAAATATAGTCAACAACATTGTAATAGCCGTGTATGGTGTCAGATGGGTGTTAGACTCATCAGGTATATTTCAGGTAAATATACGCTTCATAAGGTATATGTCTAATCACTATGTTGTATACACCCGAAACTAATAGAATGTATGTCAACTGTAATTGAAAAGTAAATTTTACAAAAGATTTACAGAGTTCTCGGTGATGTGGTTCCTGCTAGTGGACCCACACTTCCAAAGCACACACATTTTGACACTTTATGACCCACCGGTGGTGTTTCTACAAACAAAATGCCAAAGGTGACTGGTGAGTTTCATAAAGAACAGGTCAGCTTGAGCCCGGCCATAAAGGCACACACACCACTGCCCTGTTTCTAAACCTCACTGCTCGGTCTCCTCGCTACCTATCAAAATCCTAATTATGTTAAAGACCATATTTGGTACTTCTCCTAAGAAGAAAGTTGGGTGCTTACAGTGAACTAAAGTATATTCAATCGCCTTCTTATAACTTTACAATGTTACCACTGTAGGACCGAGAACTGCATTATAGAAACCTGCTTCACCAGGTGTTTCCAAAATTTGTTTCTCCCTTCTCAGAACACTTCCATCTGTGCCTTACCGTACAAGTGCTCCATACAGATAAGAGGAACAAGTAGGGGGAGATGGAGCTGAAAATAAAAATCTATGTTGCTCATGTTTTCCCTCCAAAANAGCCACAGTGGGAGGTATATCATGACCCGGGACTATCTGACCGTAAAAGTCTGGGATCTCAACATGGAAAACCGCCCCATCGAGACTTACCAGGTACACACCACCACCCACCCATGTGTGTAATGAACACTTCCTTGGTGGGCTTCCAAGTCAGCCTCTGCCTGCAGGGGCCATTACAACACAGACAAATGTAAATGTCATAGCCTGTGAGTGCCGTAGGATTTAAAACAAGGGTGCATATAGAGGGCTAGAACTCAACTGAATCCTTATCTACTGAGTACTTATGTACACATATCTACTATGTGCCATGGATGCCATAGAGACAGAGGTGAACAAGACACACAGGATGCCGACTGCCTGGTGGAGAAGTGAGATGATGAACAGGGAATTGAGCACACAGGAGACAATACTGAGTGCCACACACAGGGAGGCAGCCTGGGGAGAAAGGCTTTCCTGAAGAAAGTGGTCCTTACGCTGAGCCTTGACATCCACGAACTAGCCAGAAAAGTGATATTCTTAGCATAGTGTGTTGAAAGGTCTGGAGTCAAGAGAAATGTGGTGTGATCAGAAAGGAACTGCCTACACCTGGAATATGGAACCCAGGGCCAGAGAGCAGAGACTAGACATGTAGACCCCAGTTTAATAAATGAGGTTACTTTGTCTTTAGGCTGGGTACCATAGACAGCCTTTAGAGTTTTACACAGGAAATGACACGATGAATTTTGTGTGTTTACCATGTGTTTCACTGCAGTTTGCCAAACAGATTAAAGGAATTTAGGTGGGAGGAGATGGTGGTGTGCAGGGAGGATGCAGGGCCTGGGAGGTTTGCTCACTGATGGAGTGTGGACAGGAGAGCAATGAGAAAGGCTGTGTGGAGGCTTGCGGCTTGAGTATTGGCTAGATGGCGGTAGACCTACTGACAAAGGGACAAGGCATTGTTTTGGATTTCT